AAAGAGTTTTTGACTTTATATTCAGAGCGTAAAGGAAAGCTCTGAATAAAAACAATATCAAAAATGATTTTTAAGTGATAAGATTAATTTCATACAATTTAAAACAAGTTCTTTCATATTTTAATATTCAGATGTATACATTCAACTCTTCAAAAACTTCTTATAATTCTCAAATCTTCTGAATCACAACCACATCACATAATGTATGACAAATGAATCTTCAGATCAAAAAGATTAAAGAATACATGCAACATCATATACAGAGTTTATTCAATTCAATCAATCAAGCTATAAATCAGCTGATTAAAGAATGTTAAATGGTTATATATAAATCTGTTATTTTAACAAAAGAAAACAAAGAACTAAGAGCTGCAAATGAGAAGTAAAATAGAAAGTGAGAGAAAGATCATACATATGTAACTCAGAAAAATGTTTTAAGAGTTTAAAAAGAAATAGATTGCATATGAAATGTTAATGAAGAGGAAAGAAAGAGGATAGAGATTTCTAACTCTCAATCATGAAAACATGCAGCATTTTGATGTAGTAGATGTGGTACTATTGAACATACTGCTTATACATGTGAAAGCAGATTTGTAAATAATTCTTAATATAATTAATCTATTTTTCTTACATGTTTGTTGTTATATTTGATTATTAAGATACAAAATGATGAAAAGTGGCCGACTCGCTTGTGTGGCCGACTCGCTTGTGGATTACGTTATGGAGTTCTTGTTTGCAAAAATATGTATTGGGTTCATTGGTGTAAAGCAGGTTTCTGGACATCTGATTGGTTTAAAAGGTGAAAATTCTCCAGACTTTCAACCAACGTGCCTGCAGAACGGTACACTCGGTGGCCAGTGTGTCTCTATGGATGCCTTTTAGTACTACGGCACTTGAAAATGCTGAAATTGAGGTCCGTCTATATGCACAGTGTACTGGTCATGGTCTTTAATATGTGGGTTGACATTGGGCTTGTCAAAATGGAAAACTGTTACATCCATTCTGTGTTAAAACCATTGCATCTGCCTGTCCACCGGCACAGCACCCAGCAATAAATACACCCATCAAATACAAAGCTCTGAATCTTGAGGAAGAATCAGCATCAGAAAATGATACACGAAATATCTTTGACTGGCTCCGAATTGATGGCTATCCCTCAAGAGAACGAGGAATAAGTAACCACTAGTGGATCAATCTTAGTGAATCTGATCATGAGTCACCAAAGATCTATACCGCGCCAGCACCAAAAGCTATGGTAGAAGATTAGATAAAATATAGTATTCTGATACCTGACTCAATGATAGATCCTTCATAGATTTGATCCTTCCTGCAAGGCGCCATCTAGCAGACACGGGCGAACAGGAGGACACATCGATATCTTGATCAACAACGTCGGACGATCGTGGGCCTAGTGGGCCCGCGGATATACCTAAAAAGACTTGGGGACAGACAAAGCGGACGCCAATTTGAAATCGGTTTACCTGTGCTATCGCCACGTGCTGCCGATCATGGAGGGACAGGAGGGCAGTGGTGATGCAATGGTTAATGAATCTTCAATTGCGTAGATGCGCTATATCGACAAGCCCCTGATAGCATACAGTACAACGAAAGCGGCAATGATAGAATTCACCAAAGCCACTACACTAGTAATTTACGGAAAAACAGCTGTTAGGTCGAATATGATTGCGCCTATTCACCGCTTTTCGGATCGCTAGCGGAGAATGATGCGGGAGGTAAAAAAAAAAAGAGGCACTGGGCTATACTGGTGGGGCGGATGGGGGATTCATTTGATGGGGCGTAGCTATCTTGACCTCTGGACAGACGATATATATAGCTAGTCAAAATATAGTAGTGGATAGAGGTATCACTACGTCCACAAGTTAGTTTACAAGAGTTCGTACATGCGGGATATTGCTGTGATGAAAATTGCGCAATCCTAGGAGGTTACACTATATATACAGGTTAAGGTATATACACTTTTACTTTAAGGGGATGGGTGCGACCTCAATATCTGAGTTTTATATCATAAGAGCGGGTTAATGTTCAGGATGGTATACGCTCTCATTCTGGCATATTTATTTGAATTACTTAACCTGTTTCGAAATTAACACCCAGAAAAATAGAATCAAGAGAAAACCTGCAGAACATGAAATTAATTTTTGCGTAACCAATAGATAAAATTTATTACCCAGGCACAAAAGACGTAAAACTGTGACAGTCAACATTCTCATTCCATGCAAATGCAAACATCCGGTAAATCTCATGCTCAAGGAGAATAGATTTCATAAGTCGCATACTGAAGTATATTCGCAGAGGGCATTGTCCATGCACATAACCTTCGTCACCCTGAAGCTATGCAGCCATAGGATTAAATGCACCGGGACCAAGTTCAACAAAAGAGGACAACATTGAGAGGGAAAAGTAGGTAATAAAATAATAATGTAAACAATTAAACCTATTCCTGGTAATGTTATAGCACATGGGTTTATGAAAAATGAATTTAACAATACATCGGGAGATATCAGAATGATATAAAAATAATGTTCAAGTAACACCCTTGTAATCGAATGATGAACACAAGCAGAAAACACACAAAAGAAAGTTCATACCCATATTCTTACTGGCTGATTATGGAAAGAAAATGAGACATTTGGCCGTTGACAAACACCATAGTGCTAAAGGAAAAGAAAAGAAAAATATATATAGAGACAGACGAGCAAATTCCTCGCCAAACACAACGTTTTCGCATTCTATCAGTATCTTTCCCATAGTATGCAAGCTAAAACTTCGAAGTACTGTTCCTGATACCAGATTTGTTGTCAAACTTGATAATCTGAAAATAATTTCATGGCGCACAAGTAAAGAACGCAGAGGAAAAGAAAAGAAACGCCGTTCCCGTTTAAATTTTGAGCCAGGATTGCTGCTTTCGTCACGTGTCATTGGGTGTATCATCTGAGAAAGATGGCGTAATAGGGGGTCGAACCAGTCGAGTGTACTCACACCACCCACCTTCCAGATGTCGCCTGGAGTTGAAAATGTATGTGGCGAAAAATAATTTTTTCATTTTCTTCTTTTTTTTCAATTTTTTTTGTGTGATTTCCATTTCCATCTTCTATTATAGAGACGGAATCGTGTACGAAGAGCTGTAGTGGAAGAAGACCCTTGATTTCGGAGATTGCATTCCGGTTTTCGAGTTGTATCCTTCGACTTTTCGCGATCCCGATCACAGTCCTTCTCCCTGTCCTTCTGTTGGTGATGTGCGTTTTGACAAGGTGTGTCTAAGTTGCCTGATAATACCTTTCTGATCTCCTCTCCAGCCTTCGAAACCGGCCCGTTGAGCAGGAACGGGATCAGATTTAGTGATTTTGCAGAAAAGCGTTGAGAACAGATATTGATCACCACTTGCATCGTAGAGAGGTAGATACCTGTATCCTTGGGAGAGGCTACTGAGTTTTGCGGTAAAAGTGGCAAGTTGCACGCTGTTGTTACCGCCGAAACTTCGTCCATCAGGAGAGTTACGGACGACCCAACGGACGAAGACCAGGTCGGGGTACTTCGTCTCCAGTGACAGCTTGAATTGGTCGTTAAACACCGGGTTGTAACCATTCTGTTGCTCGATCCTTGTCCGACGACGGTGGGGTTGACCGATTCCAGACATGCCGTTGCGAGCAGAAGTATCAACACCGCCTTCGCCGAATGCGAGACCTTTCCGTTTGTCATCGGCGCAAAACAGCTCAATTTCAACGTACGGGTTAATACTATCATCGGGGCCCATTCCTTGTAGTCTTGGGAGTTGCTGTGCAGAGATGATATCCACGGTGAACGTAACTAATTTTCTGTCGACTTTCGGTTTTGAATCGCAACTCAGAGCAAGATACCTAGGCGAGGGAGATGTTCGTAGGCTATCCGGCTTTAGAACATAGCCAGTCTGGTCGGTGCCAGAAGCAAACATTGCTTGGTTCAGCTGCATACCGACGTCGTAGGTTTGCCAGTTCATTGCTACCATTTGCACGCCCCGTCTCCAGAAAATATTTGGATCAAAATTCGATGAGCGAACTCGAAATTTCGACGGATAGACACGTGTAATGAATGATTTATTATGCGCTTCGAGCAATACTTTGTTCTCTGAGTCCCCACATAACCGTTCGAAGGCTTTTTCAGCAAAAGAGTAGACATGATTGAATCTCTTACTCTCCGGGGAATTGAAGCTGTGAAACTTGTATCCTCGAGAATATATACCGAGTTCTGCCAGCTCTCTGGTTATCCTGCTTTTTTGTCTTCTTTTTTCCTTTCTCGTTGACGTTAAGAGCTGGCCAACATCGCTGTCCTCGGATGTACTACTGGTGCTTGTAGTGGTAAGTGATCGTCTTCCAACGGTCCAAGATGGCAAGCTACCAGCATCTACTGAGTGGCTTGTTTGAGAAAAAGGCATTGATATATTACTGCTCTCTGGGAGAGTGGGACGAACAAATGGCGAACTAGAGCTGCGCTTGCGACCATTAGTATGTGCATGAGATGAGGCCGACAGCTCTTCCTCGTCCGCGGTTTTGACTTTTATCAAGATGCGATGCTTTAGATCATCTGGAGAGGGTAATATCGGGCAATTGGTCAAAAGAGGCTGAAGAAGAAGCTTGTCCCCAAATGTCTCTTTCATGATTTCCACCATTGCAAGTTGTTGATTTGGGGAACAATGAACCTCAAGCGAAAGTATCAATGGATATTCGGACCCTTGAAACGCATACCGGTTGATCACGCTAATGCAATCTGCGAATAAAACACTCTTCGTCATGGTATGTCCGTGTGAGACTGTCGGACGACCATCTGCACCATCCCAACAGTCAATCTCAACACAGCGACAACCATTTTGAAGAGCGGTGATGTATGCTTCAGTGCTGGATTCTCCAACAACTTGTCTCCCTAGTAAATACGTGTTATGTGAACTCGAGATGAAGTATTCGTTGAGGGGTCTGTCAAACTTTGGGGGGGAGTATCGTATTGGGTATATGCTATTTTTTGGAGAAATTAAAAACGCTGAGAAAGCATCCAAGTCCATCCGAGCATCTGGCGAATTTCGTGTTTCTAACCGCTGTTTGGAGTTACGGACGAATGATTCAAAGGTGGAGCACCAGTAGTTCCTAGCACCTTCCACATTTTCGCATTGAACCTCGCGAAGGAAATGGAGGAACTCGTCCAATGTTAGCCCTTGAACAGGATCTGCTGCGACAGAACGAAATATTTCCCGGATGTCTTTGCGGTCCCTCAGCCGTTGAAGGAAATCTTTAAATTGCGCAAAGTTTAGACGACCTGTTCGCTCCGTATCTGCTTTTGTGATCTGAGCCCGCAGCATGTTTTTCGAGCAATTGATATGTAAACTTTGGCAGAGGTTCTCAATAGCGTTCCGGTCAAGTGATTCTTCACCAGGCTCTAGCACCCGCCTAGAAATTTCACGCCCCCAGTGAGCTTTTAGAACAGTCTCACTCTGAGAACCAGCCAATCCAGCCATAAGACCGATACGATATCTAGAGATACCTTCCAGGGTGTTTGTCCACAGTTCGAAAGTAGCTTTATTCGGGGCGATAAGATGCAGGGTTTTGATGGGCTTATTTTTGGACTGCTCTGGATTTGTGAAAATAATCGTGAACCACAGGTTTTCAAGATTTTCAGGAATGTCATGCTCCTCCCGATAGTTACGAGCATCTAGACCTGTGCGTATTTGTTTAATATCGTCGATATAAAGTCTTTTGGTTGGATTTGACAAATCCCAATAAACCTTGGCGGAATGTAAATCGAGAAAAAATGTTACCATCTTTGTCTTATGCTTGGTCACCTTGGTCAGAAGAGAACCACGATGTAAAATCGCATCCAGCTTAGGTGCAATGCATGCATGAGCGCCAGTCACAGACATGTTGTATCCATTGGTAGTGCCATTTGTTTCTGGATTGCACCACGAGCCCAGATAATCGCAAACTTCTTCCTCTTCTTCATGGCTTGAATCCAAACCACTATCACGAGATGTTGTCCCAGTTTTACTGTCACTCCTCCTCCGCATAATCACAGGACCAGAACTGTTATCTCGTTTGTCATGGTGAGATGTCGACTGTCTCCGCCGAGTGAGTTTGTTCGCAGTGCCTCTGGATAACCTTCTCATCAATCCCGGAGCTTTGTTTGAAGTGGTATTGTTCCCGATGCCCTCTATGCTAGACGGAGGGGCATTTATGGGATATGCAGGAAATGCCATAACACTCTCAGGGAGCTCAAGAGGGACAGGAGATCCAAGCGTGAATGTTGTCCCTAGTGTATTTCGAACAACAGGATCTCGCGTAGAGTCAGCTAAGACGTTGAGGGAGAAAGTGGACGGGCTAGGCGCGCTTGAGATATAAGTTGGAAGCTCGGGCGAAGTTTTTGATGGCTCTGATGGGCCAAACGCGGAAACTGAAGGAGCAGATGAACTAAGAGTAGAAGAAGAGAGAACATCTTGAAACGGAATTCTGCGGGAAGATTGGGAAGGAGGTGAGTTTGATCGGGAATATGAGTTGTCATTTAAGGCAAAGGAAGGCCACCCGCCCGATGCCATCACAGACAGCCGTCAGAGGAGTTGGGCGAGGTCCAGTGCACGCCACTCTGCAGGGACTACTGATGAGCGGTTGAGATTCAGAGCGTACCAAACTTCAAATCGTCACAGCTGATGGTTATGCAGGGCAAATAATTGAGAATGGAATAGAAAAGTTAAAGACGCAAGTCGTGTTTGTCGTTCCGGTTTTGTTTCCCGAACGAATCCAGCAAGTGGTTTGACTGGCTGGCGTATTAGGAAGAAGGGTCGCGATTAATTGTGCGTCGTTGTAACAAAGGCGCCACTACCACGTTTGCCAAAAGTTTGATACCTGCATATTGACCTGCAATATAGAGCGTTAAGATCTTCTATGGATTGTTTGCGAATGATCTGGAGCCTACCACCCGGTTCGAGCGGCACCCAGACCTCGAACAACTGCTCTCTTCGTAAAAAGAAATGTTTGGTTACCCTTATCGCCTCGCTTGTCCCCCACCTCCTCAAGGGCTGTTTGAACTTCCTCCCCTCCTGTTTTCTCTGGCGTATTTCTTCGCGTTCGAAGTGATCACTTTTGCGGGAGTTCCTTTTTCAATTGGGTGTGCGGTTGATCGGCAGGGTAAAAGGGAGGCGGCAAGGGATCCAATCGAGCTTGTAGATCGCCACGAAAACAAATACTATGTGGCTGAGAATGAGTATTTTGCGTTGTTCAAAAAAAAAAAAAAAAAAAAAAAAAAAAAAAAAAAAAGTTAAATGAAGAGTAGATGGTAGGATGAGTAGATCTGGGACAGGAATGGCGGTACCTACGTCCCCCTTATATCTAGCAGTTCTCACAAGGCTTGTAGTCTCAAGCCCAGCAAGGTATTTTGTGACGAATTTCCAGTTTCCAGGTTGGACCTTGGTGTACAGAACTCAAGTCCCAGGAAAGACCTCGTTGAAGCGGGGTGCGCCAACTCTTGCAGGGCGAGAATAAGGTGTCCCAGGGATGGATGCGTCAGGGAGCAGCTGATGCACACTCTCTCAACGAATGGATGGCGGTGCCCAATGCAATACACGGGCTCGAGTTATGCAGGCGGGTCCTTGGAGGGGGTTGGCGTAGTGGAGAAAGGGGTTAGATATTTCGACGATCACGGCGATGAGGCGCTGTTGTTGCTTTGGCGGTGATTGATTGCTGTAGGGGTCGCGGGGAATTCCTCAAAAATTCCCTTTAAGACCCGCAATGATGCGTTGGGTGACAATAATTCAAGACCGCAAGGGGAAAGCAGAGGAGCGGAACGTTGCAGGAAGCTGATGTATGGTGAGTCAAACAAAGCCACAACATGGCAGAATTGGGATCCGGGAGGAGGGCAATGAAGGGAATAATAAAATAAAAACGGGAGGATT